TGTTTTTAAAAGTATTTTGACTACCAAAATTGATACTACTTTTTTTGTATGCATGAAACCTATTTGCATGCCAAAATATATAAATTTTAAATAATAACTCGATTATCCACTTGTCAATTGCCGGTGTTGGGCTAAGGAGTACCCTCCTAAGTTGGTATAGTATGACACTCTTCTAGTTGAATGTCAGACTCTATACATACAGATGACCGATATTAGCTTTCGAAGTCCCTTGAGAATACTTAAACTTGAGCCTACCCGAACCTGAAGGCTTATAGTCCACTTCGAACTTTTTATTGTTTCACTTGTTATTTTTTTCGAGAGTTCCCTGTGTCTTCTTGCAGTTTTCTTCGAGCTTATTGTGTGAGTCACTTGAGTTTATTTGATAAGTTATGAAGTGGGAGTCCCCCGGGACAAAATGTTAATTTTGGATTTTAATGTCTTAAATAAACTTTATGATTAACCAAAGATAAATGGGTAATATTGAACATAATAAACCTCTTTTGGATGATTGAAATATAAACGATAAATGATAGAAATTAACTTGCCACTTGTCTCATAATAAGAATATATGTGCGATTTTGTTAATCATCATAACTTGGAAGTCAATTCTAAAGGATGATCCAAAAATAATGGGTTCAAGCTATGAAGATATTAATTCACCTATTTTAAAGCCCATCAATTGGTGGTTAGATACTAAGTTTGATATTAATTAGAATTAAAATCTCATTTCATTTAATATTTAATTATCTTGAATTTACTTTGAAAATAGAAATTGAAAGGAGGTTTAATAATGAATTAGGTTTGATATGTGAATTGCCTTAATTGGTATTAGAAAGAAAAGTGAACATAATTAATAAATATTTTAAAACACTTTGTGTCTTACTTTAATTTGAGGTATTAAATGTCCTTAATGACCTTGAATTTGTCCTTTGGGGCACCTACTCATACAACTACCAAATGAAATGCCAAGTGCCCACCTTGATTTTCTTGAGATAATTAAAATGCCAATGTTCATTGGGTAATGGGGTAAATTTTAACTCAACCTTGGGATGATTAATAGAACAATATGATAAGTTCAAAATGAACTCAAAATGTTTCAAGGGATTTTTAAAGTGGCTCAAGGTCATTCCCCGAACACTCTGGAATCTTTTAGATATTTTGAAGAACAAATTGAACTTGTTATATTTCGTTCTAGAAAATAATCCATTAGCATCATTTAGGACTCGTTGGGTCATAGTTTGAGGTTTTTTAGATACACTTTCATATACCCTTGCTATTTGTTTAATTTACCGCAAAATTATATATACATGTTGCAAAAGCAAATATTTCAGTGGGAGCAGCGAGAAGATGACAGGTACGCTTTTATAGTGTTATTTAATTTTTGTCATTTATTTTCACTGCAAACTGTTATAACTGCTTGGGTGTGTACTCTACATTTATTGCAAAACCAAAACAACCATTTTCAAAAACTAATCAACATTTTCAAAAATCTAAAACAATTTGTTTCAAATGTAACCATGAATCCTTTGAAATATCCTAAACATAAAACATTCTTTTGAATTTATGAGATTCCATCAAAGGAGGTAACATGGTTGCTAACGAGATCTCTCCAGTTTAAATGAGTTTCACAACTTGTTTAAGCTAAGTAAATTAAAAAAAAAATAGTGATACCAGAATGAGAAAACTGTGAGATCCTAACCATCAGAACTTGACACACCAGAAAACTTGACCTCTAAACTTGATACTTCTCTCAATCTTTACAATTTGACCATTCTAAAACTTAAACTCGTCATGATGACGAGGAGCTTGGAGCTAGCATTGTGGGCAACACAACCATCTTCAACAACAAAACATGTCTACACCAACTAAACCATTTCTTAGAATTAAATAATAATCTATAAGACTTCAAGATTGTTTGCTTATGCAACATAAATTCTCAACTTATCTTTAGGCCATTGTATAACTCTGCCATGCAATTTAAGCCCTAACCAGTTTTAGTGATTCCGAGATTGTTGTTCTTCACGACCTAAAACCTCACATCTCCAGACTATTTGTGTGATCATTTCACACGATTATAAGTCCTAATTAATAAAATTGGCAGGATGAAACACTTAAATATTTCTCCTCTAAATTGAAGCCAAAATAATAGGATAACTTGGAAAGTCACTGAGGGTCTCCTCAGAATCCCTGACATCCTCTAGTTCTTCTTGCTTTAAATTTTAGAAATAAATGTTTCAAATTTGAGTTATTCTCTTTTCACATCTCTTTGTCCGATCTCCTTGAAAAGTCATATCTTTTGAAATTCTTGAAGATAATATCCCCTGATTTTTATCGAGAGTTTTTTTAGGTGACTCTGACTATCTAAGATTTAATTAACTATAAGAGTGCATTTATAGAAAACTTTTCAAGAACCCAACTTAATATAACCCCTATTTAATTTTTCATATGAAACAAGAGAACTTGTTGGGAAACTTGTCGGCTTACATTATAATAAAATGGTTTCACAGACCAAACATATGTTATATATTTCTTACTTTATTTGATCGAGTCTCACCCTCAAGTCTTCTGTTTATCTTTCGGGATATATACATAGCTTGAAGTATAGTGTTTTTTCATTTGAACTATGAAAGATGTGAGATTAATTTGATTTCATATTTTTCTAAACTTAAATATATAGATAAATTAAAAGTCTTTCCGAAACGGGCGACGAGATTTTGATTCCGGCAACCGACAAATTAATTTGATTTCATATTTTTCTAAACTTAAATATTTAGATAAATTAAATTAAATATTTTTCCAAAGCGTGCGACGGGATTTCAATTCCGGTGATGGATAACTTTCAACAGGCAACTCCTCAACTTTTTAGTGTCTATAGAGGTGAATGAGGCCACTGCTAATTTTTAGGTGGCTGATTTTTGGATCAATGGGCAGTGGAATATATCTATGCTTAGGAAAAATGTGGGCTCTTTTAATGCATCTTACATCTCCAAGACCCCTATAGACAGTACAAGGAAAGATTCTCTTCTTCTTAAACTTCCTAAAGAATAGCCCTTTGCTAAGGCAATTTACTCTAATTTACACCAACATCACAAAATTAACTGGGGTGAGTGTAGGGAACTATTTCCTTCTATGTCTTTCTTCTTATAGAGGCATTACCTTATGTTAGTACCTTATGATGAAATTTTAAAACTAGAAGGGCTAAGATTTCCTTCTCAATGTGTTTTGTGCAAAAAGGATGAGGAAGACGCTGTTCACTTGTACTTTGAATGTCTAGTGGTAATGAATATCTGGAAGATCCTGAGAGGGAAATTCCAAATTTATGTTCCTGCATCGTGAGGGGAATTGGAGATTGCTGTGAGACCTAGAATCCTAGCAAAAAGAAAAATCATATTTTGGAGCTCATTCCTCATATTACTATGTGGTTTTTATGGATGACACACAACTCTATCGAACATTTGGGAAGCATCGTCAAAGAGGATCATATAATGACTAATGTTCTTTTATATTTACAAAATATTGTAAAGTTATGTTCCTATAAGCCCTCATTATTCAATGGCTTAACTTATTTTAACTCATGGGTTTGTGCTCTGAGTGCTCCGATGCAACCTAAACTGGTTATGTGGAGCAAACCTTCACCAAATTGGGTGAAGGTAAATGGTAATGGAGGTTGGGGGGAGGGCTGGCTGGCCCTGGAGGAATTTTTTCGAGATTACAGAAGAGAAAGTGTTTTTTTTTTGTGCATCTCTTTGTTCGCCTGAAAATGCATTAGAGGCAGAAGCGTGGGTTGTGTAGATGGCTGTAGAGAATGTTAGAAAGGCTAATTGGAATTTTTTGCAGATGGAGGTTGATCCAATACAACTGTTGGAGTATCTTAATGGGAAGAAGGAAGTAACCTAGAATATTGTTATCTGTGTGAACAAAATTATTAAGGATATTATGACAGAATATTGTTATCTGTGTGAACAAAATTATTAAGGCTATTATGAATATGACTCGTAACGTTGTTTGGAACTTTCTTTGCAGGGAAGGGAACCAGTCTGCTCACTAGTTGGCAAAGAAGAGAGCTAAAAATTCAGAAGTTGAGTTGAGGTTAACCCCTCGCGAGGTTCTGCTGAGAATTATTCATAGAGACATTTTGGGAATCCCTTACATAAGGATTTAAGTTGTCTTATTTCTGGTTTGATTCTTTTGGATATTGGGTATAATTTTTCTTTTTCTTTTGATTGGGTGAGTTGTATACTTTGGAGGTGGAACCTTAGGTTTTAAGTTTTTTGTGTGAGTTGTATTTTGATTTTTTCTAGAAGGATCTACCTTCATACCCATTATACTTATTTACCTGATGTCAATAAAATTCTCTACATGGTTCCTTAACTAGATATATATATATATATATATATCAACTTACTTATGTATGATGTATGAAAATATGTATTAACTTTTTAAAAGTTGAATTAATAGAGATATTTTATATCAACTTACTTATGTCTGATGTGTGAAAATATGTATTCACTTTTTAAAAGTTGAATTAATAGAGATATTTTAAATATGAAAGATTTGAATTTTACTAATTCAATAAATAAAATTTATGTGCCACATATGTAAATACATAAGAATTATATATATATATATTATAAAATTAAAATAAAAATGTCTTACAAGGTGAATGACCTGGTCTATTCTAGCAAATTAACTATTTATCTATCTTTCCATGTATATAAAATTAAAATATGGAGAATTAAATGATATAATTATGAATTGAGAAATCGATCACTTTATAATATCATAATACATGCATTATGATTTTATGATGAGTTTGACGTTCAAAAAGCTACCATATAACATTGACGATAAAATTTTGAAAAACAATACAAAATTCATCTAATTAACGAAGTGGGACTAAAATTTAAAAAACGTGCTGACAAAAAAAACTATTCGATAAAAGCCTTGAAAAAGCTAGAAATGTGTGAGAGAGACGAGCTAGCCAGGCTAATCAAACTCACATTAGCAAACTTGCCATCTTCCATGGCAGAGTCTCCCCTCCACGGGATCCTTGTCCTCACAAGCTTCCCTGAACGCTGAGCCTCCAAGAACAGCAAAGACTTCGTCAATGCCTCCCTGTAGTTATGTTCATTCGCCCTCACAAACATGAAGTATCCATCACAACAAACCAGCCATGCAAAAACAGCCACAATAAGCGCTCCAGGAGTTTCCCTCATTTTCAGAAGCTCTGTATTAATTTGCAGTATAAGAAGAAGAAGAAGAAGAAGAAGAAGAAGAAGAGTTGGGGGAGGAGAGAAATGAAGGAGAAGGATCTATGGTGCGTGGAAGCACAGTGAGCAATTTTTTAAGCTTTTTATAAATGGTTGGAGCGGTTGGAAATTGCTTTGTTTTTTTTGGGTGGAGTTAAATTAAATTGGTTCTGTTTTAGTTCCTCAAGATTTGATGCCATCCCTACGTTGCCTGCCGGCGGGTTTTGGTTGCCAATCATGAGGAGCGACGGAGAGGATATGGTGGATGTTTTATTTATTTATTTATTTATTTATTTTAATTTTTTCTATGTTAATTATATTAAAATTTATAGTATTTCTAATAATAGGAAGAAGGGGCGTATACATAGAAACAGCATGAAGTCTTGTGAATTTAGATATATAACTCCTAAACTTTAATTTTTACATTTATAACACTGAAAGTTTGTATTATTATCACATCCAACATGCCACCATCACTATTTTCTTAAAAGGTGCATTAAACTTTTTCCATGCATGATTGGCTTTTATATTAGCGGGGCCAGCTTCACACCTGTTTATTCGTGTGAGATAACATAAAATAAGATTTGGATGTTATTTTCATAAGTATTTAAGATGTGATAATTAGATATATAGAAATTACTGCTTTAATTATCGGGAGATTTATTCGTGAGGAAGGTTGGTTAACAATTTGCAGGAGTTGCGTGAGCTGTGAGCCACATTGGCCGTCATTGGTTATGTATGTTGTAATGGTGAGCTACAGTAACATCAGTGGGTTATAGAAGCTGGAGTTGTGAGTCACAATAGCTTTAAATAGCCACATAAATCTTACTAATAATCTGCAGTAGCGTTTGTAGGCCACATAGACAAGAGTTGGGGCCTTCGTGAGCTGGGAGTCAAGTAAGATGTAGTGGTAAGTTGCAATGATGTTCATAGGCTAGAAATACCAGAGTTGGGAGTTGCATGAGTTGTGGACCATATAGACTTTGTTGTTCACATAAGTCATAACAAAGAGTTGAGATGATGTTTGTAGGGTGTAGGGAGCAGAGCCGGAAGTTGCATGAGCTTTAAACCTTAAACCACATAGGTCGTAGCTGATCAAGTAGACTATAGTGGTGAGCTGCGATGATGTCCGTACGTAGGTCGCAAGGGCCTAAGTCGTCAGCTGCACGAGTGCACGAGCACACGAGCTGAGAACCTCATAGGTCATAGCTGGTAATGTAGGCCATAGAGGTTGGAGTTGAGAGCTGCACGAGCTGTGAATCATATTGGTCATAGTTGATCACACAGATCGTAGTGGTGAGCTACAAGGAGAGAGATTTTAGAGTCTGGAGAAAGCCACTGTCTTTGGAGTGCATTGTTACATTGTCTTTTAGAGGCATTATTGCACTACATTTAGGCTGCGTTGTTACTCCGTCTACGAGAGACATCGTCACAGTATACGTGGGTTGCATTATTACATTGTTACATTGTCTTTTAGAGGCATTATTGCACTATATTTAGGCTGCGTTGTTACTCCGTCTACGAGAGGCATCGTCACAGTATACGTGGGTTGCATTATTATACCATCATCGGGGTGTGTCACTGCACTTTATTTGGGGTGCCTTATTACATCGTTTTCTGAGTGTATCATTACATCAACATCGGGGTGTGTTGTTGTATCGTATTCCGAGGATGTTGTCACACCTTCTTCGGGTGTTTCGTCACACCATCATCTAAGTGTGTTGTTGCACTGTATTTGAAGTGCGTTATTGAACCATCTTCAGGAGCCGTCGTTGCACTGTATGTGAGGTGCACTGGTGCACCGTAATCAGGTGTTGTTGCACCTTTTGTATGTGGGTTGCGTCGTTATACTGACATTGGGGTGTGTTGTTGCACCATATTTGGTGTGTGTGCTATGCCATTTTTGGGTTGCGACGTTACATCACCATCGGAGTGTGTCATTACATCATATTTGGGACGCATTACTACACAATGTATTAGACTATGCATTGTCTCCTTGGGTGATTCACTGCTCTGCAATGTAAGCTAGAATTTTAAAATGCATGTTGCGATTCCATAAGAGACTTCACTGCAAGGAACATGTGGTGGTCGGTGGTGGTTGAAGATGTACGGTAGACAACAATGAGAGTTGGCTGGAGGCAGCGACCAAAGTTGGTCGGAGGCGGTGAAGGCGGCGACTATTGGAGTTGGCAAGAGTTGGAGGCGGCGACAACTATCGGAGTTGAGCAGCAGAGTTCGTCATGTCAACTGTTAGAGTGAGAGGTAATTGTCTGCTTTGTGGTGCATAAGTGATGATCGATTTTAGCCCCTCATCCAAGCTTATGGCTTCTTCTGGGTTAAGGTCTAGGTCTCCTTCTCAATAGAGGGCAGGGCTTTATTTGTAAAGTCCATATTACTAATAAGAAGAAATTTAGATCACTCAATCGGATTACTCAGAGAGATTTCCTTTATCGAACAATATTCAATGAACATTTGAGTGCCTTAATGTGTTATTATTGAACGATCTTGGGCTCGTTGTATTTGTCTCGCCAAGACATTTGATTTTACTATAAACATGTAAGATTTGAAACCCATTTAACTTTCCAATTATGGACTAAAAGATTCCATAAGTGGTTTAACGACTTGATTTGGGCTTAAGGCGACTCGAATTGGACCAATTTCAAGATCATTAAGTCCGTCTCATCGAGCTAGATAGTTTGATTATAAGTTTGGAGTTCTAAATGACTTTTAATTAAAGTTTGAACATTTTTTCCTTAAAAAAATGTCTCGAGAATTATGTAATATCCTGAGGTTCGAGGAAGAGGATGAAAATTAATTTGACGGTGGCGTATCAATGACAATGAGAAATATAATAACCAAATAAATATTTTTCATAATAAATTTACATGCAATAAAAACATTCAAAAAATAAATAAAAGGTCTTCCAATTAAGAAAAAATCACCTCCCTTGGAAACAATCCCGCAACCCTTTCTATAAAGCATATTGCTTCATAAATCCTACATTCAAAAATCCATGTCAAAAAAGTACTCAACAAGTTGAACGTCAAAGGCTAAACAACTAAAATAATCAATGTCTCCATTTTTTATAATTAATTATTTATATGGGTTTCCTCTAATTTATGCTTTAGTAGTTAGATTATCATAGAATGTATTTAGCATTTAAGTAGGTGTAGGACATTTGAATACATTGATATATATGAGTCATTCAATCTATCATTAATGTATTCATAACTGCATGCTAGAGTCGAGCCCAAGGGCTCAACGATTACATCCTTTTAGCCTATCAGTATCACACATAGATATCTAGGGATCATATCATATAATATATAATCAAGTGTTTGGAATGATAACTCATGCACATAAGCATATCCATCAGACAAGCTAATTAAATTTGTTATATCACTCATATATATATACATATACCTTAGATTCATACACATATATTTGTATGACCGTCACATTATTGAACCATACTCAATCACTCATGTCATTTTTGACCTTCAAATGATCACATACTATTTGAAGTGCTACGATATATCATATCACTCGTCACTACTACGTAAGCATGTCATACATGAATACGTAGCCCATTTATATCATCATACAACGAGCTGTAGGTTTAGGTTAAAAGTGTTCACACCTTAGTAGTGAGGCCCTTTAAACTTGAGACTTGACTAGTGATTATAATAAATTGAACATCGTTACATGTTATTAACTTCATAAGGTAATAAAAATCAATAAATCATAATCAATTCTCATATGATCGTGCTAGAAATATGAATAGCTTAAGATATGTGATCCTAAGTATTTAAGGCATACATAAGGCCAACTTTGTGAAAAAAAATTAATTTCATTTTATAGAAATATCTATTTATCCATATTTTTAAAATAAAATATTTTAAAATTATTGTATTATGATGATATACTCTAGTCTAATTGGATCTTTAGGATAAAAATAAACCTTGTGGTCTTATCAAAATAACATGAGTAGTCTCTCATCCGTATTGACTCATACACACTTAGATGTTGTGATAGATTCGCCCATAGATGTTTGTTTAGTTTAGGGTATGATGTAATTAGAAATTTTCATATGTGTGGCCATTGTGATATACTTTACTTGTGTGTTGGCCGCATATTTTATGTTTTATTTTTTAATATGCTTTTGTGAGAGATGCGCAGTAGATTAAGAATATATATACAATCTTTTAAAAGGGGCTATAAAATAAATAAAATAAAACACATTTTCTGTATGTGCTTGTAAATTGATTGCTCATGTTGGTAATAACTCATTATGTATCGGGTGCTATATACATTTATATTTATAAATATTATCCTTTATTTTAATGAGTTGCTTCAATATTTGTATGATTTTTACTATATATTTTTTAGAGACTAGGTAGAGTCTATACTAATATTAAAATATGAACGTAAGTCCCTCATAAGCATCTAGGGTCATTTAAAGATGAGGATTTGGAGTTGATAGCTTATGTCTTATACATTCATCCATCCATACAAAAATACATACATACATACATACATACATATATACATACATACATACATACATACATACATACATACATATATATATATATATAGATAT